CAGGGCTGCTCTGTTTTCCCCGTGCCCAGAACGTGGGACAGATAGATCTAAGTGCCACTGGTACTGCTGGTGACCCGGGGCGTGCCAGACCCCCAAGGCAAGGCCCCGGGCAGGGCAGAGGGCTCTCAACCCCGCTGTGCAGCCAACAGCCACTCACCCCCGTCTCGGGGTAACGGAAATGGTTTTGGCAAAGAGCAGGAGGAGAGCTTGGGATTTTGTTTGCCGTTAGCCCCTCCACTCCACCTCCAGTTTTGGAGCCAATGCTGGCCAGCTCTCCCTGGACCATTTTCTGAACTAGATAAGCTGAAGCAGTGGACAGGAAGATGCACTAGGCTTGGCCTCTGTCCCGGGACCTGAATTCAGCCCGTTTTCCACAAGCTCCTCGCCCCCCACTCTGGCCTTGTGGACGAGCCCCGATAGGCAAGGGGGGCACTGGCCCCCAGAACCTCTCCTTGTAAATACTGTCTGCAGGGCTGGCTGCTTCTGAGGAGTCTGCTGGGCAGATGTAGCCCTTGGGGCTGGCCGTGTGGACCACCGGGCCTCTGCAGGGTGGAGCAGGGCCCCATGGGGACCCCTCTGACCTCTCCCCAGTGTCAGTAGTTCAGTCGTGTCCGACTGTTTGCCACCCCATGGACTGTAGCCTGCCACGCTTCTCTGTCCATGGAGTTCTCCAGGCAAGAACACTGGAATGGGTTGCCATTTCCTCCTCCAGGGAACCTTCCCGACCCAGGGATCGAACCCGGGTCTCCCGTGCTGCGGGCACTCTGCTGTCTGGGCCACCGGGGAAGCCTGCCCCCTCCCCGGAGCGGTCTTAACAAAGTCAAGGGGCGTTCGAGGCCTGCTACCCCCACCCCTCAGTTCTGCATGTGGCCCACAGAACACACCGAGGCCTTGAAATACTGAGCGAGTCAGTCCTTTTGCTCAAGTTTGGGCTCTGCAGGTGTGTGCTCCCACATACACCAGTGTTGACACAGCACACGTTCACTCACATGCACATTTACACACACGTGTGCCAACACTGCTCTGACTCCCAACACTTCTTACTCTCACAGCCTGCCCGACCAAGAACCAAGAGCCACAAGCCCCCTCACCTCCAGGTTGCCCACGGAAGCCACAGGCCAGGCCGCAGGCTTCTACCTCCATTCCAGGCCGTTCCCGGGCCTTCAGCTCCAAGGGCAGAGGTTGCCTCAGCCCACAGCTCCCATCCTCCCCTCCCAAGAAAACAGGCTTTCCCGGAGGGTTTGGGTTTCAAAGCTGAAGGCCATAGCCCACCCCACAGCTTTCTCCCTTGGTCAATGGAAAAGAATCCTTTTGCTGCCTCTAATTTGAAAAATGAAAGAAAGGAAAAGAAACTGGAGTGTAAGAAAAGCTATCTAGCTATACCAGGGCTCAACTCCCCTCACAAGTCCCGGCCACTCTTCCCAAGCCTGCCCTCTGCTGGGCTGACCACCGTCCGCCATCTTGGTCGACCAACAGGCACCATCTTGGTCACGCCCCTCCCAGGCAGCCTCTCTGAATAGAGCCTACTGCCCACTCCAGGCCTCGCCCTTGCCTCAGCACAGCATCCAGGAAACCTGAAAAGCCAAAACCCCTGTCTCTCCACTGTTGGGAGACCCCATCGACCTCCCCCAGGCTCTGTTTGCCAAGTCAACAGCTGACTCCACTTCATGGTGGCCATGACAGTGGCAGGCTGACGACTCCCCAGCCCTGGCTGGGCAGACAGACTGGGGGCACTTCCTTTCTATGCCCCTACCATTTTCACTCAGGGAAGTGGCCATACACCTTTGTCAGCCACCACCTGGAAGGTCCCCAAGGTCCCCACTCTTAGCTGGGGCTGGGACGGGCCCTGGTTGTGCCCACATCCTGATCCAGGGACTCAAGAAAGGTGGCCCAGGGTGGCTGGGAACTGTGGCTGGAAGGCGCTGGTGGCGGGTGGGCAGGTTCATCTTCAGTCATCAGGCAAATGGTGCCCCTGGCTTGGGGTCGGGGCCTGGCCCTTCCTGTGACCCCAGAGCCTCCTGTCCCGAGCTCTGAGGCCTCCTCCTCTGTCACCTCCCAGGGGACATGCCCCAGCCGACCATGCATCTTCTGGGCACACCACACTGGTCAGTGTGGTGCGCTGCCTGAATGGGGAGGTCACAGTGGCCAGCTCCAGGTCACCCGGTCCCTCCCTCCCCACCGGGGGCCTGGGGCTGACGGGAGGGGGAGAATGCTGGTGCTTCGGGGGTTCTGGGACCCCTGAATCCTGGGGAAGGGAGGGCTGTGAGCCTCTCCTGCTTGGATGGGTGTTCTGGGTAGAGGGCAGTGGGGAGGCCACCACCTCCTAGGGGGCTTTGGAGACCCCCGTGGAGAGAGGGGGTGTTGAGTGGGCACTGCTGAGTCTCTGCTGGGCCAGGACTGGGGCTGAGGTGGAAAGGGGTTTCTTAGGAGCCAGGGGAGCCCAAGTTGAGTGTTGAACCAAAGAGGCAGATTTTCATAACGGGGGGTGGGGGTGAAGTGGGGGTCTCGACTCCCCATCTCCCTCACTCTCCCTACCTTAACCTCTCACCCTGTGTTCACGGATGAGGCAGGTGAGGAGTGAGGGGGCGGTGAGCAGTTTGAGCTTTTCTTACCAGGGAACAGCGCACACTTGAGACACACCTGGGACCCTGGTGGCGGCTCCGGGGCTCCATGCTCAGTGAGCCCGAGCCAAGAGCGTCTCAGCTCAACAGGGCCCCTTCGGGCCGCCTCCCTGTGGGTCTGGAGACCTCTGGGGGCAGCCAGCCAGTGGGGTGATCATTTTCTCTTCCCCAGACTGCTGGACATCAAGTCACTGGCTCATGGGCACACAGACACCGAGGATGCTCTGGCCTCCCCGCATGGCAAGAGGATGGGGAGGGCTGGGAAACAGAGGGTGGGGTTCCCAGCCCATGGGTTGGATACACACCAGTGTAACCTGGAGAGCTGAATCCTTGCACCAACCCCTCAAGGAAACAATGTCCAGGGCCTCCATCTCTTTCTCGGTTACCTGGGGCCAGTCCCCAGGAGGAGACCCGAGGAAAGAACCTGTGGCTTCTAACCTTGCAGGTGAAAGAAATCCGGTGATGGAGGTGCTGCGGGGTGGAAGCAGACCTGGACTGGGCAATGGCGAAGGGGCTGTTCCTTTTCAAACGCGCTTCCCCTTTATGGCCCTGTCCCCAAAATAAAACAAGGGTGTCCAGGGGCCTTGGAAATGGAACTAAAGGGAGGGGCTGGATCCCAGCTTTCAAAGGCGACTCGGGGAGGAGGGGGTAGGGATCCTCAACCCCCACCCTGGGGCTCTGTTCTCGGTTGCTGGTCTGATTCTCTCAAGTCAGGGCCGAGGCAGCCAGCCAGCTTCTCTGATCATCGTATTGCCTATATACTTGAATTAATACATGGTGGCTCAAAACGTGCCTGTGTGCACGGCAGACACAGCGGGGCGGAGGCCCTCACGCCCACACATACACGCACACACGTGTGTGCACGCTCACACGGTATATATTAACATATATATTGCTCAAGTATATATGCTATTTACAGTATATATCTATATCAACATAAAACACAGGTATTTATATGTGTGTACAATTACGTCCTAGGGGGTCTGGGGGGATCACATGTTTCTTGGAGTCACGGGGCCGACACACTAGCTCGGCGGGGAGGAGAGGCAGGGGAGCGACACGGGGAGGAGCTGACAGGAAGGGGTCTGGAGGGTACACCACAGAAAAATCAAGGCCTTCCCGGCACAGAGGGGGTGCTCAGGACGTGGGGGGCTGCCCTGCCCACACAGTCACCCCGGTTTTGGAACCAGCAAACAACTGACATGTTTTGGTTTTTCTGGAGTTTTGTGCAAAATGACTTCCAAAAAAGAGGTTCCGAATCAGTGCTTGGGCTCTGAACATCTGTAAGGATTCAGAGACACGCTTCCATCACTGGGTGGGTTTCCAGGGCTCAGAGGGTCCCATGTGGCCTGGAGAAGGGGGAGAGTGGGGCTTCACCTGGTCAAGAGAATGGCCCCTCTCCTCCCAGCTTCTCAGGGATGGCCCGGACAACACCGCCAGCTGGGGAGGAGGCAGGGGCGTCGCCCTGTTCTCTGGGGCGGGGGCTGGTCTGCCACCTGGCTGTCCGTCTGCCCACAGCCCGTCAAACCTTCCTCTGAAGGTTAAAACCACTAACCTTCAGAGTGGTTAGACACGCTTAGAACAGTGCTTAGAACCACTCTGCCTTGGCAGCTCTGTGTGGGGTGCCCCTGGGGACCCCTGGATCGTTAACTGACCTCTGCTCCCAGCTGCCTGCTCTGAAGGGAAAGCCAAGGCCCCTGGCGGCAGCTCCGATTCTCAGGCCTGTCCCTGGAGCCACAGGATGTCAAACCAAGCGATGTCACACTTTGGGTCCCGACAGCGTCGGCAGGCCCTGTCCCCTGAAACTATTGCCAGTCGCAGCCTGGGTAACAAACACATTAAATAGGAAGCTACAAGGTATGGTTTTCTCTATTAAGGCTCAGATAAGCTGCCTCCCAGGTCAAATTCTCATGAACCCCACGGTCCCTGGACAGAGGGGTGGGCGGGCGGGCGAGTTGGGGGCAGGGGCCTTCCATGTTCCCCCACAAGCGGGGCAGGGAGAGGAGGGCAGGACGTTGGGGGAGCCCTGTGCTGGTCTCGTTGATTGCTGGGGAGGTGGGGGTGACCTAAGAAAACCCCAGCTCAGAATGCTGGGGATGCCCCCACTTGGGGAAAACTGAGGCTCTGCCAGCCCCAGGAGGGTCCGGGGAAAGCAGACGGGATAGGAGCTGTTGCCCCAGGCTGGTGGGTCTCCTGGGAACCACCCCCCCACCCCCCAGGATGAGCGCTTGTGGTAGGGAGGGTCTGGACAGGGCCCCCTTGGCAGTCTTGCTGGGAGTCAGGGTACAGGCCCTGTGGTTGGCAGCCAAGGAAGGTTCTGGGTGGCCGAGGTCCCCCCCCAGCTCAGGGCCCCACCCTTAGAGCCTCACCAGCACAGGATTAGAGAGCCGCCCACTGGCCTCCACTCTGCAGGGACCAGCCCAGAGCCGATGGGACCAGAGACAAGATGGGGTCCAGAGCCCCTGCCCTCATGAGGGCCTTCCCCGGCTCTATGAACTCAGCCCTGCTCAGCCAGCCCCCCAAGATGACGCGAGAATCGGTACCCCAGTGTCCCGGAGGCACCAGCTTCCTTTGGCGTTTGCCCTCGGCCGTGGGTGAGGCTGGACGAGAAGGTGGGTCAGCGGAGAAGCTCCCTTGGCCCTGGACACCATTTTCTGGAGTGAGGGTGGGGGAGGAGGAGAGGGCGTGCTCTCTGGAGGGTCTGGGGGCTCCAGGAAGGCAGGAGAAGGGCATGGGGAGGCCTTGGCTTGGGTCCAGGCCTGGCGGGGTCAGCCATCGGGGGGTGTCTCCTAGAGACCCCACCTCTGGGGGCCCCGGGGCCGGTTTTCCAGTCTGTTGAGAAATACTGCAAGAAGAGTCTTCAGGGTGGGGCTGGGTCCGGGGCTGGGTCCAGGCCTGGGGAGGGGACGCGGATGGGGAGGAGCGGAAGGGGCCCTTCTAGTGCTTCTCTGCTTGGCTGACTTTCAGGGCGCTGATGACGCTGTTGATGTTTTCTTCCGGTACCTGTGAGGGGCGGGAAGTAAACATCTGGGAGCCACTGGACCAGGCCTCCCCTGCCCCGGGGTGGGTGCCCAACACTCACCAGTGCGTGGTCAAACTTGAAGGTGCTGATGTAGTAGGCGGGGATGTCTGCGGCAGCCAAGGGCTCGGAGATCTGGGCCACGATGCCGCACTCATCTGGGGACAGAGGCGGGGACCACGCTCAGCCCTCCCCGCTGTTGGCACCCAGCGCAGCCTCGGCCGTTCCCCGACAGGTCTCTCAAGCTCCTGCTTTTCTGCCTGGTCTCCCGGGGCTCCTGGCTGGACCCACAGGCCCCTCTGGTGGGCGTACAGGCCTCGTGCCTGCACTCCTGGTGACTGTCTGTCCTGCTACGTAGTGGAGACTGGTTGTGTCCTAAGATTCTTAAACTACAGACACATTCACTTTTATTTCTATAAAATAAGGCGGGAGGGAGATGAGGGACTAGAATGGTGCCTTTCAAACAGTGGCTGGTGACCTGTTTGGGACATGAATTTAGAAGGCTGGTGACTAGCGCTTTAGAAAGCGACAATAAGGGACTTCCCTGGTGGGTCCCTTAAGAATCCGCCTGCCAATTCAGGGGACCCAGGTTCGATCCCTGATCTGGGAAGATTCCACATGCTGCGGGGCAACAAAGTCCTCGCACTGCAATGAGTGAAGGCCAGGAGCCTGTGCTCCGCAACTAGGGACGCCACTGCAATGAGAAGCCTGGACACTGCAACTAGGGAGTAGCCCCTGCTCTCTCCAACTAGAGAGAGCTCTCGGGCAGCAGCACAGACCCAGTGCAGCCAAACATAAGTAAACAAAACTAACAACAACAAAAGACAACAGGAACGGGAAGGGCCAAGAGCTCGGACAGCACTGCCGTGAGTGCAGTTTTGTAAAACCGTAGAGTTGTTTAGGGTATGTGTGTGCTGGGCTCTGATGGAAAACACATTTCCGGCAAGCCATGGTCAAAAACATATGGCGTCTGCCAATCTAGAATCTTTCTGATTCTCAAAAAGTTGCTTTTCTTGCAGGGCTATTTTTAATTATTTTTGGCCGAGGTGGGTCTTCATGGCTGCATGGGCTTTGCTGGAGTTGCAGCAGGTGGGGGCTACTCTCCGGTTGTGGTGTGTGGGTTTCTGATTGCCGTGGCTTCTCTTGTTGCAGAGCACGGGCTCTAGGGCGTGTAGGCTTCAGGAGCTGACACTCCCACGCTCTAGACCACCGGCTCAATAGCTGCGGTGCATGGGCTTAGCTGCTCTGCGGCATGTGGGATCCTCCCGGATCAGGGATCGAACCTGTGTCTCCTGCCCTGGCAGGTGGATTCTTCACCACTGAGCCACTCGGGAAGCCTTACAGGGCTATTTATAGCTATCAGCCTGGCCTTAACACTCTCCACACTCCAGGAAGGCAGGTTCCACTGCTGCTGCTTATATGCCAAATGCCAGGACCCCTGGTGCCTGCCCATGAGGCCACTCAAAGCAGCACTCAGCAACTACACGTGCTAAGATGATTCGCGTTTCATTCACTATCCCACCTCAATCCTCCCTTCATCCTGACTTTCTCTTTTCTGTAATGTTATTATACTGGGTGTGCTTTGGTAAACTCTAAACCAAAACTGGGAATAAAAAAACAAGCTGATACACATGGCTAATTATTAGAGAAATACATATAAAATGACAAGGAGGTACCACCTCTCACCCCAATCAGAATAGCCATCATTAAAAAAAGTCTACAAATAACAAATGCCGGGGAAGGTGGGGGGAAAAGGGAACCTTCCTATAATTGATGGTGAGAATGTAAGTTGGTTCAGCCATTATGGAAAACAGATATGGAGGTTCCGCAGAAAACTAAAAGTAGAATTATCATGTGATCTAGGAATCCCACTCCTGGACATATATCTGGACAAAACTCTAATTTGAAAAGAAACACGCGTCCCTGTGTTCACAGCAGCCAAGACGTGGAAACAACTGAAATGTCTACTGACAGATGAATGGATAAAGAAGATGAGGTGGAAGAAAATCAGGAAGGACAAGCATCCTATGATATTGCTTACATGTTGAATCTAAAATATGATACAAATGAACTAATCCACAGACTTCCCTGGTGGTCCACTGGTTAAGAATCCACCTGCCCATGCAGGGGACTTGGGTTCAATCCCTGCTCTGGGAAGACTCCACATGCCAAGGGGCAAGTAAGCCTGTGTGCCACAACTGCCGAGCCCACGAGCTGCCACTACTGAAGCCCCAGTGCCTAGAGCCCATGCTCCGCAACAAGAGAAACCGCCACAGTGAGAAGCCGTAGCACTCCAACTAGAGAGTAACCCCTACTCAATGCAGCTAGAGAAAGCCCGTATATAGCAACGAAGACCCAGCCCAGCACCCCCTCCCCACAAAAAACTGTACTCACTTACAAAACAGAAATAGACTCATAGACACAGCAAATAAACATGGTTACCAAAGGGGAAAGGGGGTCAGTGGGGGGATAAATTAGAATGAGTATGGGATGAACAGATACCCACTACTACACATAAAACAGTGTCGAACCCCAGGGGCTCACCAAATCCCAGAGGCTGTCCTCCGATCCGCACCATCTTCCAGAGCTCCCCAGATGCACTCGTGAACAACAAATTACTAGGAAACCTTAAAAGGGAGCAAGATATGTCAACCCCCAGATGCTGAGAGTGCACCCTCTGCCAGCTCTCCCTGGAACGCTCCCTGTCGTGGGGGCATTGATGCTGGGCTGGAACTCAGGGGCCCCAAGGACCCTCCAAGCCCTCAGCCCACGTGCTCTGCACCTTCCTCCTCCAGGGGTGGGTGGGGTGGGGAGCAGGATGGCAAAGCTGGAATTGCGCTTTGGAACAACTGCCCCCTTTGCTCAGGCTGGTCAGGGTACCCCTCCTCAGCTCCAGACTGGAGGGATGGGGTGGGGGGGTCAAACAGCACTGGATGGCACTGGGTGACTCAGGGCCTTCGTCTCTGAGTGGCCTGTCATTTGTAAGGTGGGGCCACTCACCTGCAATGAAGGGCTGGGGCGGGGACTTGTTAGGACCAAGTGGGTAACAGGCCCATCGTCAGCTTCCACCCAGGGCCCGGCTCACCTCTGTTGGGTCTGCACATCCATCACCAGGGAGATGTAACCCTCGATGAGGGAGAAGGAGAAGAAGCGGATGTGGTCGCAGTCATCGCCGGACGCCAGCGGGTCCTTCATTCTGGGGGCCGGGGGGGAGATGGTGAGCAGTGGAGCGAGGGACCCACTGCACCCTGACCCGCACCCGGCCCACCTGCCCTGGCTGTTAGCTACGGGGTGTCCAGGCAGGCACCGACCAAATCCTTGCTCTGCTCCTGCCTTGCTGGGGGACCCCTGAGCCCACCAATACTGGGAGCCCCCGCACTGGTCTCCACACCGGTGAGATGCAGGTGATTCCACGGCATTCACGGGGGTGAGCACCGCCCTTCACAGTGTTGAAGACTCAGCCAGCTCTCTGCATGAGCTTATACTTGCCCCTTCCTGGACAGGGTTTCTCTGTCCCTGTGTTGGCCAACATCTCAGGGCACAGTCTGTGGTCACTGCCAGCTTGCTAGCCCCTGGCCCCACCCCACTTGGTGTTGGCCGAAACTTAAAATCTGCCCTGAGGAAAAATGCAAAGTTGTCGTCCACCAAATGAAAAAAACCTGAGTCCCTGGCTCTTCAAATGACTGGGCTTGCCCAGGAGCTCAGGGGACCCTGGGGTGTTCATAACATCTATATGTGGGCCTGGGGTTTCATCAAGTTTTGGGGTTTGCAATGAATCAATTCTCGCCTTCAAGAAAGGGGATCTGGGGTAGAGTCATGTCTCTCTTCTCAAGCTAGCTCTCAGGGCAGGTCTGTGCCTCCTCCCTCAGATTAGCTCCCAGGGCAGGTCTGTTTCTCCCCCCTCAGACTGGGGCTTGTAGGCAGATTCGTGTCTCCTTGGCCCACGCTGCAGCCCCTCACCCCCGAGGGGGCCCTACCCGTTGGAATAAAACATGACGTCCATGAGGAGTGTGGCAACGGTGGGCAGCGTGTCGGGGTCCAGGCTGGTGACACAGAACCTGTTGCTCGGGCTGGACAGTGGGTGGATGACGGGCCTCTGGACTGTGGGAGCACAAATACAAGGGATGCTGAGGGCAGGAGGAGAGGAGGCGGCGAGGAGGCGGCAAGGAGCCTGGGAGGAGGGGGGTGGTCAGCCAGCAGCTGCTCTGGGGAAGTCCAATGGCAGGCTCTGAGATCCGGCCCCAGTCACTTTTGCAGCTCCCAGCACCCCCTGCAACTCTCCTAATTCTCAGACCCCTGGGCTTTTGCACGTGCCATGCCATCTGCCTGGAAAGCCTTTCCCAAACTTTACCACCTATCTTATTAGCTCCTACTTGTGCTGTGAGTTTTTCAGCCTGAGAATCACTGCTTCTGGGAGGCCCACATTGATACCCTGTGCTGGGTCAGGAGTGGCCCCTGGCCATTTCTGGCTGTGTCCACATCCGTCACCCTTTGGAGATCCTGGGTCTGAGGACTGTTGAACCATGTGATGCCTGGCCCTCAGCCGAGGTTCTGAGAATGGGGGTGCCCTGGGGCAGCACCTGGTCATTTCCTGAAGTTTCTCTGCACAACCCTCCCCTCCCTCAACTCACCCATCTTGGGCTTCACAAAGCCATTGGTGATGCCGAGGTTCTCAGCTGCCACCGTCTCGCCATTGACGACCCGCAGGATGGTG